AGGAATCGAACCCAGGGCCTCATGCATGCAAGGCAAGCACTCTACCACTGAGCCACCTTCCCAGCCCCTGCTTTGCATCTTTGCTGCTTTGCTGGCTCATGTGACCACTCTAAACTTTTTGTTGTTGCTGTTGGTCTTGGGGCTTGAACTTGGGGACTGGGTGTGCTCCCTGAGATCCTTTGTTCAAGGCTAGCACCCTAACTCTTGAGCCACTGAGCCACTTTCAGTTTTCTGGTGATTAATTGGAGATAGTGCACTTTTCTACCTAGGCTGGCTTCAAACCATGATTCTCAGATCTCAGCCTCCTGAGTAGCTAGGATCACAGGTGTGAGCCACCAATGTCCACCCAGAATTATTTTTTTAACAAATACATACAAGATCAAGTGTGTGCCCTGTGAGCTTCACTGTGACATGAGCATTGTGGCAAATGACTTGAATGCCTTGCCCCTGGTGAGGGCCATCCCATTACAAAGGACAATGTGAAAATACCTTCTATCCTACTGCCAGTGGTTGCCCTACTTGACAGTGAAGGGAAGCACTTCACAAAATGTAGTCCCAGAGAGTCCCATTATCACTAGGAACCAGTTACAAGTGGAAATTCTTAGACTCTAATCCAGATCTATTGAGACAGGAACTCATACAGGATCCAGCTGACTGTGATTCCAGATGATTCTGAAACCTACTCCAGTTTAGGGGAAGACAGAGTCCACTGTAGAGCACCTTTGGTTCTGAACATCAGCTATAGCTACCTTACTAGTGATCATGCATACATACTAAATCCCCTAAAATGAGGATATTCATAGTATAAGAAAGTATTTTTTTTCAAGGTATGGTCTCACTATGTAGTCCACATGGGCCTCAAACTCAGTCCTCCTACTTGAGTCTCACAAGTGTCTATATTACAGGTGTGCTCTACCATGCCCAACTTCAGAAGAGAACTTTCTGATGGAGTCAATCGTATAACTCAAGGAGAAGCGCCTGACACTTTCCAGTAATGAGGGACACTTGATGTAAAGTGTTCACAGAGAAAACCCAGCTCAGAAGGAATTTCAAGACACCACTCAAGGACAGTAACATAATCTACCTTAACTTGCTATTTTAAATATTCCTATTCATTCAAAACCTCAAGATCACACTCTCATAGTTCTCTTACCTCACTGGAAAGAACATTGTACAGAGACGACAGAGAACAGTAATTTAAAAAGAACACATGTTCTACAACCTCCATATGTTCAATATTTTGTTTTGTTTTTTCTTAGTGCTGGTAATGGAACCCAGGACATTACACATGCTTGACAAGCACTCTACCATTTTCGAGCTACCCCTCATCATTTCTTTTTCTATTTTTACTCTTAATTTTCATCTTCAACCTTTAAAGAAGAACTAATACCCATACTACTCAAGCTCTTCCAAGAAATAGAAGCAGAGGGAACAATCCCAAACTCATTCTATGGAGCCAATATCACACTTATCCCTAAACCAGGCAAAGACCCAACAAAAAAAGAGAACTACATATCAATCTCCTTGATGTACACAGATGCAAAGCTCCTCAGTAAAATTTTAGCCAACAGAATCCAGAAACATCAAAAAAAAATCATACATTACGATCAAGTAGGCTTCATCCCAGAGATGAAGGGATGGTTTAACGTACATAAATCAATAAATGTAATCCATCACATCAACAGATCCAAGGTCAATAACCTCATGATTATCTCCATTGATGTGGAAAAAGCTTTTGATAAAATACAACATTCATTCATGTTAAAAGCACTGGAGAAAATTGGAATCGAAGGAACATTCCTTAAAACAATAAAAGCCATATACAACAGATCGATAGCCAATATTGTACTTAATAATGAAAAACTACAACCAATTCTCCTAAAAACAGGAACAAGGCAAGGATCCCCACTCTCTCCATTCCTCTTCAATATAGTTCTGGAATCCTTAACCAGAGCAATAAGGCAAGAAAAAGACATTAAAGGGATATGCATGCAGATGACATGATATTATATCTTAACGATCCCCAAAAACTCCACCCCCCAGACTCTTAGAGCTTACAAACCACTTTGGCAAAGTAGCAGGATACAAAATTAACCCACAAAAATTAGTTGCTTTTCTGTACACCAACAATGTACAAGCAGAAAGGGAAATCAAGGAAACCCCATCTACAATAACCTCAAAAAAATAGCTAGGAATTAACCTAACCAAAGATGTTAAGGAACTATTTAATGAAAACTAAAAAAGCCTAAAAAGAAAGAAATCAGAGGACATCAGGAAATGGAAAGACCTTCCATGTTCTTGGATAGGCAGAATTAATATAGTGAAAATGGCCATACTGCCAAAATTGATATATACATTCAATGCAATTCTCATTAAAATCCCAATGACATACTTTACTGAAAGAGAAAGCAATCCAAAAATTCATATGGAACAACAAAGATCTAGAATAGCCAAAGCAATTCTAGGCAAAAAAAAAAAAAACATTGAGGGCTGGGAAGGCGGCTCAGTGGTAGAGCGCTTGCCTTGTATGCATGAGACCCTGGGTTTGATTCCTCTGCACCACATAAGCAAAAAGAAAAAAGCCGGAAGTGGTGCTGTGGCTCAAGTGGTAGAGTGTTAGCCTTGAGCTGAAGAGCTGAGGGACAGCGCCCAGGCCCAGAGTTCAGGCCCCACGACCAGACCCCACCAAAAAAAAACATAGAATGGATCACGATACTGGATTTCAGCTCTACTATAGAGTCATAATAACAAAGTCAGCTTGGTATTGGCACAAAAACAGATTCAAAGACCAAGGAATAGATTAGAAGCTCCAGAAATAAAACCACATATTTATAGTCTACTGATATTTGACAAAGGAGCCAAAGACATACAGTGGAAGAAACATAGCCTCTTCAACTATTGGTGCTGGAAAAACTGGGAGGCACATGCAAAAAAAAAAAAAAAAAGTGGACCCCAGCCTGTCATCATGCACTAACATCAACTCAAAATGGATTAAAGACCTTAACATCAAACCCAAAACTCTGAAACTACTGCAGGTCAGAGTAGGAGAGACACTAGAACTTATACGCACAGGCAGGAACTTCCTGAACAGTCCCAGGGTCACAACAAATTGGGGAGAGACTCCATAAATGGGACTACCTTAAAATAAAGTTTCTGCACAGCTAAAGACATAGGTACCAAACTAGAAAGACAGCCAATTAATTGGGAAAAAATATTTACCTGCAATATATCAGACAAGAGCCTGATATCCATTATATACAGGGGACTTAAGAAACTAATCCCTCCCAAATCTAACAAACCAATTACTTAATAGGCAAGGGAACTAAAGAGAGACTTCTCAGAAGAGGAGATAAAAATGGCAAAGAAACACATGAGGAAATGTTTATCATCCCTGGCTGAAAAGGAAATATAAATAAAAACAACCCTGAGATACCACCTTACCCCAGTCAGAATGGCCCACATCCTATATTCAGCCAAGGACAAATGCTGGAGGGGATGTGGAGAAAGAGGAACCCTATTACACTGCTGGTGGGAATGTACACTTATACAACCACTTTGGAAAGCAGTCTGGAAGTTCCTCAGAAAGCTATATATAGACCTCCCTTATGACACAGACATACCACTCCTAGGCATCTACCCTGAGCAACAGGAACCAGGATACAAGGATACATGCACCTCCTCCATGTTCATTGCAGCAAAGACATGGAAACAACCCAGATGCCCCACTACAGATGAATGGATCCAAAAATTGTGGTACCCATATACAATGGAATATTATGCAGCCATTAGAAAGGACAAAGTAATAGCATTCACAGGGAAATGGATGGAACTAGAAAAAAATCATTTTGCTGGGTGTCAGTGGCTTGTAATCCTAGCTATTCAGGAGGCTGAGATCTGAGGATCACAGTTCAAAGCCAGCCCCGGCAGGAATCTCCGTTAGATTCTAATCTCCACTCAGAAATCTGGAAGTGGTGCTGTGGCTCAAGTGGTAGAGCACTCACCTTGAGCTAAAGAGCTGAGGGACAGTGCCCAGGCCCCAGAGTTCAAGCCCCATGACCAACAACAACAACAAAAAAAGACGAAGAAGAAGAAAGAAAAAATCATTTTGAGTGAGGTAAGCCAAGAGCAAGGAGACAAACAGTACATGTTCTCCCTGATATGGTATTAAATACAAAATGCAAGGAGATACAACAAAGTAAACAGGACTCAAGAAACAAAGGACCTCCACTCATTTTGTTGTACACTTCTAGATGACTCCATGTTCTTGACCACATATATAGTGGTGAGGGAAGCTAGGAGGAGAACACAGAAACATAGAGAAAAAGGAAAACATACAACAGAGGGGCCCATCACCTGCACTGGACATTGATGGAAACAAACTAAGCAACTCAAAGGCAGCGATGGAAGGGAGGGAATGAGAGGGAATTAGGGAACAGCTTACACTAAACAAAAGGAAAGAAATGTACATATCACTCGATGTGGAAGAAATAGTTATATTGTTAAAGCACATCAAATTCACAAACTTTATAGACCACGATAATGACAATTTGCCTCATGAAGGTTAGAATGTGTTTGTGACTTTAACTATCACTATCTCAAAATACCGTGAAATTTAAGTAATCACTTAATCACAATAAAAATTTATAGAAAACAGAAAAATGAGGTTACTGGCAATGCTATCTTTCAGTTATAATGGCAGTTATGTGAACATTTATTTTATTTAGTTTATTTCTTAGGTGTTTATTCCTTAGGTATAGCACAAAATTGTATTTTATACATTTTTCTGTATATGTCTTATATTTCATGATAAGAGATTCAAGAAAAAAAGTGGAAATGTGAATTTTCTCATACATATCATTAAATAAATTCAGAATCAGTAAAAAAATTTCATCTTCCTTTGCTTTATTGTTAATATAAAGGTGATGCACCAAAGAGTTACCATTTCATAAGTCAAGCAATGAGTACATTTCTTTCTGGACAATGTCATCCTTTCGTCGCTCTCCCCGTTCTTCCCTCCCATCCCCACCCACAGGTTGTACAGTTTATATTAAACATACTGAGTACCCCTGCTGCTTTTGTTCACCCTTTGTCCTGCCATTTCTGTGTCTTTCCCCACCCCAAAGGCAGATAGAAGAATAAACAATATAAAAGGAAAAATAAGAAAAAAAACTCTTGTTTCCATTTCCTGGGTTAATTTGATATTATTTTATATGATCAGAGGCACAGAGGCATGGCACCTTTGTGTTCACCCCTAAGAGTATCCTCCTTTGGTCTGTGTGTGAATGCCTAGAGTTCTGTACCTCAACGTTTTTTAAATTGGGAAGCAAAAATGTTCTTTGATAAAGGACTACACTTATTTCATGTTGCACCATTTAAAAATCTCTATTAATACTTCTTTTTTTTTTGGGGGGGGGGTCCGGTCGTGGGGTCTGAACTCTGGGCCTGAGCACTGTCCCTCAGCTCTTCAGCTCAAGGCTAGCGCTCTACCACTTGAGCCACAGCGCCACTTCCGGCTTTTTTCTTTTTGCTTATGTGGTGCTGAGGAATCAAACCCAGGGCCTCATGCATGCAAGACAAGAGCTCTACCACTGAGCCACCTTCCCAGCCCTCTATTAATACTTCTTAAGAGCTTACAAACTTTATTAGGGTATGCAAGGCTTCTTTATGACTATATTTGTATTAGTTAATTTAGATACTGGGTAATTTCATTGCTTCCTACATCTTCACCAAAAGCAAACATCCTCAGAAATGTGAAGCCAGGTTTAAATCAAATCTGCTTTGCTCTTGCTCCCACTTGGGCAGTCAGATGTAGAAACAGATGTAGAAAAAGAATCATATGGCCAAACAGCAAAACATAATGAAAACCCCAAGCATAAGCAACAACCTCCATCATCAGCATAGAACTGTTGTAATTTTGATTCAGTCTTTAAATCCTACCCTTCAACAACTAGTCTGGGTTTTATAACATTTCCCTTGTCTGAGACCTTCCAGTATCTCTGAGCAAGTTAAAAACCTTCTGATAAGTATCCAGAATATCCTGAGCAGTGGGTCTTTCTGCAGGAGTCTGGCTCTTACAAGCCTTGTGAATATCAAACAAATGGAATCGAACCATATCACTGCCTTCAACATGACCCAAAAGGAAACTGGAGACATCTGGAATCTTCCAGATGTCAACCTTCTCATCATAGGAAGGCATAAGCTCATCATGAAAAGGTGTGTCCTTTCCATAGGGCCACAGCTGCTCTGGAGCCACAAAATCCCCATGAAGCTCCCTGTGGCCACACTTCACAAACATCTTAGAGCTGTGGTTCACCAGAGGCAAGGCATCCAAGTCATTTGCCACGATGCTCAAGTTACTTGTAAGCAGATACTGGGACAATGTCTTGGGCAAGTCATTAGAATCACACATAACCAGTGTGCCCAGAGGGCTGTGGTGTAGGTAGTTAATGATACTGACATACCCTATAGCCAACTGCAGCCTGTGCTGCCATGTGTTCACATTTTGGTACTTTGAGAGGGTTAGTGTTTCCTCTAGGTTTCTCAAAGAACCCAAGGGGTGATATTCAGTAAGGATACTGTTGTCATCCTCACAATAGCCAACCAGTGTGACAATGTGTTTACTTTGTAGAGATTTCAGCATTTGAAGTCCATGGAGAAAATCATCTTTCATTTCCAAACTCTTCAGCCGTGAAAGAGCAACTTTGCGTTCCTTCCACTCAGACAGAAAGACCTGACACAAAGACACAGAAACATCAAATTGAAACTTTTCCTAAAGCAGAATGGGAAACAAATACATTCTAAGGGACAGGTGTGGTGCTGAAGACACAGAAACCAATGAAACACAAAGCCACTCTCTGCTGTCACAGAGTTGTATTTAGTCTAAATGTAAAGACTCACTTGTAAATAAACAGAAACATTTAGCAAAGTAAGCACTCACATTAATGAATAAGATTTTAGGGCAGAAGAGGGCAGAAGAAAATGCCTCTGGTCTGGATGCTGGGAGCCATCCAGTAGGAGGGGCTGTTAAGTTGCTCTAGGTTGATGATCTTAGAGGATAATCAGAAATAGCAACACAATGTTGAGTATGGGGAGGGCAAACCCAAGAGTTGCGCGTGTAAAGGCTTGAAGTGGCAAACAGATTTTCATTTCAACTTAGCTGACCTTGAGGACTTCAGTCAGGCTTTCTTGAGAAAAAGTGTTAAACTCTTATCCAAAAAAAAAAAAAAAAGGCTAAAAGCAAAAGGGGATGAGGGAATGGCTCAAGTGGCCTAGTGCCTGGCCTTGAATTCAAACTCCAGGACAGACAAAACAAATAATACATATTAGTCATTAGTGCTAAAAAGCAGCATAATAAACCCTAAATAAGAATATTTAGGGCCTAGTGATAGAGTGCTTGCCTAGCATGCATGAAGCCCTGGGTTCAATTCCTCAGTAAAACAAACAGAAAAAGCTAGAAGTGGCATTGTGGCTCAAGTGGTAGATTGCTAACCTTGAGCAGAAAGCTCAGGGACAGTGCCTGGGCCCCCCTGAGTCCAAGCCTCAGGACTAGCAAAAAAAAGAATATTTATATGTAAGGAAAACATTTTATATGGTCTTTGGTTTTGTTATTTCAACTATAAAAGCAGGAGCTGAAATGCTACACAAATATTGCTTGTACATATGGCACAGAAAAGAAATGTTCACATTACTCCCTCAAGGGTTTATTTTTATTAGTTAGGAAAAGCAGGAGGTACTGTTAGGAAGGAAGGAAACTGCTTTACTTAAGTCCTAAGAGAGAAGGTAGAAAGTTATAAAGCAGAAAATAAATAGGCTCAGAAGTCAGGATTCCCTGCCCCAGTCTATTTCTGCACACTGTGACCTGTGTCTCCATTGCTAAACTAAAAGTTATGGTTTTCTTTTCTTTTTTTGCTGAGCTAGGAATCACCAAGGGCTAGAATCACAGAGGCTAGAAAAAACCCTCCTCTCATACTTCTAATCCTACTAATGAGCTACTCAGGAGACTGAGATAAGAGGATCACAGTTCAGACTCTTATCTCCAATTAACCAGCAAAAAGCTACAAGAGGAGGTGTAGTTCAAGTGGTAGAACACCAGTCTTGAGTTTAAAAACTAAGAAAGAGCACAAGGCTCTGAACTCCAGCTCCAGTACAGGCACGAAAAGAGAGAGGGCAGAGACAGACAGACAGACAGACAGACAAAAAAGAAAATGAAAAACAAGGCTGGTTAAGTTTTGGGAGCATTACACAACAGTCTATTATGTAACCACCATAATGCATAATTTTATAGAATGAAAACAGAAAGAAGTAACATTACAAATGAAAATTGTTAATATACTATTATCCTACCTGAAAAAGACCAAGACAAAATTATATAAAAATCAAAGATGCTGGTGGAGAGGAAAAGCAGGAGAAAAATGAGGGAGGGGGTAACAAGTTTGACAAGAAATGTGCTCACTACCTTACTTATGTAACTGTAATCCCTCTGTATATCATCTATAATAAGTTTTTTAAAAAAATCAAAGAAATATGCTAATGTTCCAGTTACTATCTTTCTACATTGAGATTCTAGGTGATTTTCTTACTCCATACCTTTGTTATTTTTCCAGGTCTTTCAAATAAAACATATGGGGGCTGAGAAGGTGGCTCAGTAGTAGAGTGCTTATCTTGCATGCATGAGGCCCTGGGTTCAATTCCTCAGCACCACATAAGCAAAAAAAAGCCAGAAGTGGCGCTGCAGCTCATGTGATAGAGCATAGCCTTGAGCTGAAGAGCGGTGGGACAGCGCCCAGGCCCAGAGTTCAGGCCCCACGACCAACAAAAATAAAAATAAAAAAATACATAAATAAATAAATAAAACATATGTTAGTTTTATAATTTAAAACATTTTTTAAAACTCCAAATTAGGGGCTGGGAAGGTGGCTCAGTGGTAGAGCGCTTGCCTTACATGCCTGAGGCCCTGGGTTCCATTCCCCAGCACCACATAAGCAAAAAGAAAAAAGCTGGAAGTGGCGCTGTGGCTCAAGTGGTAGAGCGCTAGCCTTGAGCTGAAGAGCTCAGGGACAGTGCTCAGGCCCTGAGTTCAGGCCCCACGACTGGACCCAAAAAAAAAAAAACCTCCAAATTACTATATAAAATAAAAATAGGTTAGAGGACATCAAATGCCTAAGAAGGTAGGTTCATTATGGATAAACCTGGATAACTACAGCTGACTCTTCATATTCAAAAGAGTAATCTTTCAAGATCTCAAATCACTCAATCTGAGAAATTTCACTATTTATCATAATCTCCATTTAAAAAGCAATTATGTTCAATAAAAAATTCATATATTTAAAATGTTTTCATGTTGACTACAATCTCTTCATTAGATTTGTACCACTACCGAATGCAATATTGACCCTACGCTACATAGTGATCACTAATACAAGCAGATGGTTTTGGTCTGACCCACTTTTCACATAAAATAAAATTTCTTCAAAGAAGCTGCTTCTATATATTCAATAATAAATGGTAAAAGGAGCATGACCACACCTCATGACTTCTGAATGAATAAGGGTTGACCTTATTCATGTTGAATTCATTCTTGGACTTCAGATAAATGAAAGACTACTAAATATTATTTATTACTAGACTACTAAATATCATTTATTACTAAACAGTTAATTTTTGAGGAATCACAATTATTTGATACCACTCGTTAAAAATTTGCAAATCACAGATAAGAATAATTTCTAAGTAACCTCTAACTGCCTTATAATACTTAAAAATACACTGGAAGAAAAAAAAGGCTAGGATTAGCTCACTGCTTAGTGGTACTGCACTTGCCTGGCATGTTCAATCCCTGTGACATAGGAGAAAACATAAAATAAGAAAAAAGAAAAACAGATATGAATCCTAACAATCCTGGAAGATGATCAGACCTCCTATGCTCATGAACTGGAAGAACTCATATTGTAAAAGTATCTATAATACCAAAAGCAACCGATTCAACATAACTCCTATTGAAATTTCAGTGAAATTTTTCACAGAAAAAATAAAATCAATCCAAAAATTAGTATTGAAGCACAAAAACCCTCAAACAGCCAAAGAAATTCTTAGCAAAAAGGATAGGAATCTAGTTTCTGTCTTCTACATGTGGAGATATCTAGTTTCCCAATAGCATTTGTTGGAGATACTATATTTACTCCAATGTATGTTTTGGGCACCTCCTTTAAGAATCAGATGGCTACTGCTGTGTAAGGCTATTTTAGGGCCCTGTATTCTATTCTCCTGGTCTACAGTTCTGTCTATGTGTTACTACCAGGCTAGTTTTGTTACTGTGGCTCTGCAGTATTATTTGAAGCCCAGTATGATGCCTTCAGCATTGAAGATACATTGAAAATTCCTTTCTCTCACCCTGTACCAAAATCAATTCAAAACGCATCAAAGCCAGATGCCAGTGGCTCACATCTGTCATCCTAGTTACTCAGGAAGCTGAGATCTAAGGATCATGGTTCAAAGCCAGCCAAGGTAGTAAAGTCTGTGAGATGCTTCACTTCATCAGCAAAAAGGCAAAAGTAGAGCTGTGGCTCAAATAGTAGAGAACCAGTCTTGAGCAAAAAAAAAGCTAACGGACAGTGTCCATACCCTGAGTTCAAGCCCCAGGACTGGCACAAAAAGAAAGAAAGAAAAAGAAAACAAGTATGTACCAGTTATTTTTTCTTCCTCACTACTGGTTGGTTAAAACGGATGTCCTTGGTCCTGAAACTATCAGGTAGACTGCCTTTTTCGCATCTTCTCAGATTTATCTTTCTTACCAGATGTCCACATTCTCATCTCATAGTCTCATGTCCCTCTGGTCAGAGTCCTCCCTTGACCACCTATAGCAACATGCCCACTACTCTTTTTCCTTGTCCTGCACTGTCTTCATTAACATAATACTAACATATCATATTATATATTTGGTTTTAAAATTTTGACTCTCTAAGAGTCAAACACTAGCAAAAAAAGACAGCATATTTGCTTTTATCACTGATGCACCTACAACCCCTACAATGAGAAAAGTACTTTATACACATTCCTATCACTTCTTCCTAACTGGATCCTTCCTTTAAAAAAGTAACTCTGTTAGGCTAGAAAGGTGGCTCAGAGGTAGAGTGCTTGCCTTGCATGCATGTGGCACTGGGTTCAATTCCTCAGCACCACATAAACAGAAAAAGCCAGAAGTGGCACTGTGGTTCAAATGGTAGAGCACTAGCCTTGAGCTGAAGAGCTGAGGGCCAGTGCCCAAGCCCAGAGTTCAAGCCTCACTACCAACAACAACAACAACAAAAAAAAGCTGGGAAGGTAGCTCAGTGGTAGAGTGCTTACCTTGCATGTATGAGGCCCTGGGCTCGATTCCTCAGCACTACATAAGCAGAAAAGGCTGGAAGTAGTGCTGTGGCTCAAGTGGTAGAGTGCTTGCCTTGAGCTGAAGAGCTGAGGGACAGTGCCCAGGCCCAGAGTTCAGGCCCCATGACCAACCAAAAAAAAAAAAAAAGTACTCTGTATACAGGCAGGCATAGTGGTAACATGCCTGAAATCCCAGCACTCAGAGTTCAAAGCCATCTTGGGCTACATAATGAGTCCTGGTCTCAAAAATAGACAAATCATTTTTTTAGTTTGTGTGTGTGTGTGTGTGTGTGTGTGTGCACGTACACGTGCAGTTGTCCTGGTAGCTGGTCTGGTCCTGGGAGCTGTCCCTGAACTTTTTTGTTCAAGGCTAGTGCTCTACCACTTAAGCCATAGCTCCACTTTCAGCTTTTTGTGGCAGCTTGATGAACTTTCCTGCCCAGGCTAGCTTCAAACCAGATCCTCAGATCTCAGCCTCCTAATAGATAGGTTACAGAGATACAGGCCATCAGTGCCTGGCACAAACAAATGATACTGTTTTTAAAACACATCTGTCCACATTAAGGATGAAGCAGATGTGGGTTCCTTGTTTCCTCAACAAAAGCTGCAACATCAAGCTACAACTCCAAAGGTATATTTCCTTTTCTCTCCCTGCCTTTTGCCAGTCTTTAAACCAGTAAAACACAAGAACATAATCCTTAGCTGGCTGCTATAGCCACTGACTGGTCAATAGGCCTCAAGTTTTCATAGAAGCAATGACTACATGAGGTAACGCACATACTTGCTGGTATTGAGTAAAAGGCTCTAGGAACTTTGAGGACTGGATTCACCCTTTGGTGAGGGAAAAATTATCATTTTAGGTTGAAAAACAAGAAGAAATTATTTAGAACTGGAGCTGTGGCTCCAAGTGGTAGAGCATTACTCTTGAGCAAAAGAGCTCAGGGAGAGCACCTAGACCAAGTGCAAGTCCCGGGACTGAAGAAAAAAAATATTCATACACAGTTTCTGTCATTTTTGTAGTTTTCTACATAAATATGTAATTTTGAAATTGAAAACAAGACACACTTTTTTTTTTTTGGTCAGTCATGGGGTTTGAACTCAGGCGCTGTCCCTCAGCTCTTAAGCTCAAAGCTAGTGCTCTACCACTTGAACCACAGCACCACTTCCAGTATTCTGATGGTTTATTAGAGATAAGTGTCTTACGGACTTTCCTGCCCAGGCTGGCTTTGAACCTCGATCCTCAGATCTCAGCCTTCTGAGTAGCTAGGATTACAGGCATGAGCCACAGGTGTCCTGATAAGACATACTTTTTTTTTTTTTTTTTGGGGGGGGGGGGGTCCGGTCGTGGGGCCTGAACTCTGGGCCTGGGCGCTGTCTTTCAGCTCTTCAGCTCAAGGCTAGCACTCTTCAGCACCACTTCTGGCTTTTTTCTTTTTGCTTATGTGGTGCTGAGGAATCGAACCCAGGACCTCATGCATGCAAGGCAAGCGTTCTACCACTGAGCCACCTTCCCAGCCCTAAGGCACACTTTTTATCTCACATTTCCTCCTGAGGCCACATAGGTTCCTAATTACAGTAAATGACTACAAAATATTCCACTGAGGATTGGAAGATAATGTAATTAAACTCTAAAATTACTGTACTGGTTTTCTATTAGTATAGTGTTCTTTTATACATGTAGCTTCCCTCCTACCCCCCCCACACCGCCCCCCCCCCCCCCACACCCACCTTTGGAGTACCTTATCAGGCTAAACATGACCTAGAATCTAGTAATTTCTGGCTTTTTGTTTTGTTGTTTTTGAACCACTCACTATATTGCCCAGGCTAGGCTCAAAGTTCTAACAAATGATCCTCCTCCTTCAGCTTCCTGCGCAGCTGGGACTAAGGTGCCCATCACCACAAAGGCTTATTATGGCTCATAGCACAGAAAGCTAAATCACTCTCCCCAAAAGATGATACCAATCTCAAGAGGCTGAGATCTGAAGACTGAGGTTTGAAGCCTGCCTGGGCAGGAAAGTCCATGAGACTTTTATCTTCAATTAATCATAGAAAAAGCCAAAAGTAGCACACTGGCTCAAGTGATAGAGCACTAGCCTTGGGCAAAATGGAGCTCAGGGACAGTGTCCAAGCCCAGAGTTGGAGCCCCAGGACTGACAAAAAAAAAAAAAGAGGTAACACCAATCAATAATAGACATACTTACTCTCTTCACAGCTCCTTCCCCAATGCACTTTAACTGCCTTACTTCTGTCCTCAGCTCCTCACAGGATAGCCAAGGTGAGCAGTCTTTCATCTGTCCCATTCTGAAGTAACCATAAGGACAGGACCTGGGATCCTCAGTAGATCGTTGAGGGAAAATGAAAAATTGGTTGAGGCAGAGGTAAAGAAGAACATTCATGAGGGCCACGGCAAGCAGCAGGCCAGCAACCCGGGGGACTGCTTTGTGGGAGAGACCTTTCCTGCTCTCCTGGGGATTCCTTTCCATGTTGTTATCCAGTGTCAGCTCCTAGAATATAGTAGGCAACAAGGAGTAATAATAATTACAGAAAATATCCAGGTTTATTTCCATGAAGGAGTTTGGATGACACAGAAGGCAGTCTAAAAATGATCACCTCTCTCATGCCTCATACACTCACAAGTTCAGTTACCTTTGGCATCACTGTTTGGCACAAGGGAGGTCTGATTAGGCTCAATGTCAGCCACTTCCATAATAAGTATTCTTGATTACAAACTAAATTTTGGATTCATTCAAATTAAATTAGGCTAGAAGGAAGATGCTGATGTTTGACTTTATCTCATCTACAGTATTTTACACTAAGTAGTTATTCATGAATATTTACTGTAGAAGCAGAATGTCTCTTAGTTAGGGTAGTAAGTAGCGGCCTATTGATCTCAGTTAGGATGTTCCTACCTGAGCAGGCAAGGAATGTGCTCAGTGGTAGAATATGAAGAACTCTCTGGTTTCATCTCCAGCATAGCAAAACAAAACAGAATTACTCTGTAGCAGAAATGAAAGGGGGCCAGGCGCCGGTGGCTCACGCCTGTAATCCTAGCTAATCAGGAGGCTGAGATCTGAGAATCTTGGTTCAAAGCCAGCCCGGGCAGGAAAGACCATGAGACTCTTATCTCCAATAAACCACTAGAAAACTGGAAGTGGCGCTGTAGCTCAAGTGGTAGAACGCTCATCTTGAGCTGAAGAGCTGAGGGACAGCACCCAGGCCCAGAGTTCAAGCTCCAGGACCGACAAAGAAAAAAAAAAAGAAAAGAAAAGAAATGAAAGGGAGTCCAAAAGACTGAAGCTCAGCCTGTACTTGGGACACACTGGCAATAATCATGGGCAAGAGTGGACAAATTCCTGAGGTAGAATAATGGTGATGAATCTGGGAAAGGTAACTCAGGTGTCACTAGCAGTAGGTAACCAAAGATTCCAGAACTGGGCTAGAATCTTTACCTTAGAATTGTCATGGAGGGATCTGGACAGGGACAGGCCTGAGGAGCACCCTGGGCAGAGGGTGCTTCTCCCTCAGAGTGAGACCTGCTCCCTCAGAGCAGGTGCTCATGAAATAGAAGCATGCAATGTGAAGGTGCGGCCAGCTGATCACCAGCACTGCGAGAGACAAGAACAGTAGGGATAGAATTGCCCTGAGATGTGTACGGTTACCTTCTAGGAGCGTCTTCTTTTACCCAGCTAGGTATCTATCCAGATATCTGAGTTGATCAGTGCTTGATTGGTCCCAGGGGCTGATGTGAAAGCCCTCTGTTCAAAATACCAAAAAGGAGGTTTTGATGTTGTTTTTTTTTAATGCTGTTAAAATGTTGTTTTAAAAAAATGCAACTCGGCTGGGAAGTTGGCTCAGTGGTAGAGTGCTTGCCTTGCATACAGAGGCCCTGGGTTCGATTCTTCAACACCACATAAGCAAAAAAAAAAAAAAAAAAAAAAAGCCGGAAGTGGTGCTGAAGCTCAAGTGGTAGAGTGCTAGCCTTGAGCTGAAGAGCTGAAGGACAATGCCCCAGGCCCAGAGTTCAGGCCCCACTACCGACAAAAAATAAAACAACAACAAAAAATGCAACTCTGCATACAAATAAAGAACAGAAGAAGTCCAAATAGTTCACCTTTCCCATGGCATGCTGGAGCCTGATATCCCTCAGCCTCTTGCCTTCCAGGGTGAGGCAGAAGCCACAGAACAGTCCTTAGCCTGGTCACTGCCACCAAAACCTGTCAGCTAGTGTGGGATTAGGGTCCCAGGATTTCTCAGCAACCTGTGTTGTCTCAGTGTTCTCACCCAGACTTGATCTTAACTCCTTCTACACAGCCCTACTTGGTGTGAAGTGCATAAACAACAATAACAAAGAAAAAAAAACCTACTACTTCATTTAAACTTTCCATCCTCCAAAACTTTGCAGCCCTTTCTTTCCCTTTGCAACATCCAAGCCCCACTGGTGGGCAGTCTCAGCAAGGGTCTCATAAACCCAAGAGGTTAGTTTTTACAAGGCATTCAGCTGGACCAGGTCACCATTTCTCTTCAAACTTACACTGGCCCCTCCCCACTTTTACTCTCAGCTGATGATCTTGGTTCTCATTTCACTGAAACATAGAAGCAATCGGAGAGCATTTCTGCAAGTTCCCACACTACGTTTTCTCCTGCTAAAACAAAACTAGACTTCGTCCTGGCTTAGGAACTCACTGCTCCAGTAGCTTTCTCCTTCTGCGACACTACCAGAAAGCCAGGAGTTCTGCCTTGTCTAAAATATCCACTTTTCCTCTTCAACTATTGTCCTACCTCTCGTTCCTTTTCAGCAAACTCCATCACAGAACCCAAACCCATTCTCTCCATGGCTGTCTTCTCTTCTACACCGCATTGCTGGCCCATTCAAACTGATTTTATCTGACCAAACACCTCACCAGTCAGCAAGCAGTCCATGTTACTTAAAGCACTTCCCTTATTTGGTTTCCAGGAAACTACTGTTGGAGGATCCTTCTCATCTCTCTGGGTGCCAGGTCCTCCAGGCTTGGACCTTAGACCTCTTCATTCACTCTGCATGAGCTCACCAGATTCTTTGCTTTCCATCTCCACCTGCTGATGGGCCCCAGAAATATAGGTTCAATCCTAGCCTCTCCTAGAAGTCAAGGTTTGCTTTCTTTACTTTTGGATATCTGATGGACAACTCAAAAGTATTTCATTCAGCAATAAAAAATCTAACTATTTTAGATTGGTTAAAGGACCTGAATAGGCATTTCCCTAAAGTAAACATCCAGACAATCAACAAACACATGAAAAAATGTTCGATTTTATTTGCCATCAAGGCAAATAAAACCAGGTGCCAGTAGCTGTAATACAAACTACTCAGGAGACTGAGACCCAGATAAGTATGGTTCACAGTCAGCCTGAACAGAAAAATCTTCAAGAATCCATCTCCAGAGGTTGGAGGCATGGTTCTGTTGATAGAGCACCAGTCAATGAGTGAAAGCTAGCCAATGAGTGAAAGCATTAGGTACCAAATTCAAGTCCCAGTCTCAGACCAAAAAGAAAAAAAAGAACATTCCATCTCCAAAAGAACCAGCAAAAACACCAAGATGGGGGCATGGCTCAAGTGGTACAGTACCAGCTGAACAAACAAGCCAAGCAAGTACAAAGCCTTAAGTTCAAACTGCAGTACCTGGAAAAAAATTGTGATGAGATACTTCTCATGATAGACTACTTCATATCTACCCATGGTGATTATAATGAAAATAAATCAGACAAGGAATGTTTATGAAGATGTGGGGAAATTATAATCCTTATACAATGCTAAGGAAAATGTAAAATGAAGCTTCTGTGGAAAATTATCTGTTATTTCTGTGCTAAATACAGGTAATCTATTACACAATAATTCTACTGCTCAGAATATGCCCAAGAGAACTCAAAATACATTGACACAAACACTTAATACATGTATGGTCAAAGCAGTATTATTTAGAATACCCAAAGCCAGGCATAGGTGGCTCATGCTTGTAATCCTAGCTACTCAGGAGGCTGTGATCTGAGGATTACAGGTCAAAGCCAGCCCAGGCAGGAAAAGTCTATGAGACTCTTATCTCCACCAGAAAACCAGAAGTGGTGCTGTGGCTCAAGTAGTAGAGCACTTGCCTTGGCTGAAGAGTTCAGGGACAGTGCCCAGGCCCAGAGTTCAAGCCCCACAACCGATTTAAAAAAAGAAATAGAGGGCTGGGAAGATGGCTCAGTGGTAGAGCGCATGCCTTGCATGCCTGAGGCCCTGGGTTCGATTCCTCAGCACCACATAAGCAAAAGGAAAAAAGCCGGAAGTGGCGCTGTGGCTCAAGTGGTAGAGCGCTAGCCTTGAGCTGAAGAGCTGAGGGACAGCGCCCAGGCCCAGAGTTCAGGCCCCACGACCGGACCCAAAAAGAAAAAACAAAAACAAAAAAAAGAAATAGAATACCCAAATGGTGGAAATAATCCAAATATATACCAACGCATGAGCTAGGTTATAAAATAAGCTATATCATTAAGTGGAAAATTATTTAATTATAAAAAGAATAAAACACCAATTCATGCTACAACAGAGATAACTTCAAAAAACATATACTTAGTTAAAGAGGCTAGTCACGGGGCTGGGAAGGTGGCTCAGTGGCAAAGCGCTTGCCTTGCATGCCTGAGGCCCTGGGTTCGATTCCTCAGCACCACATAAGCAAAAAGAAAAAAGCTGGAAGTGGCGCTGTGGCTCAAGTGGTAGAGCGCTAGCCTTGAGCTGAAGAGCTGAGGGACAGCGCCCAGGCCCAGAGTTCAGGCCCCCGACTGGACCCCCAAAAAAAAGAAAAAAAAAAAAAAGGCTAGTCACTGTAAAAGTCTATTTACATAAAATGCCCAGAATAAGCAAAACCATATAATCACTAAACAGATTAGGGGCTTCTACAATTTACTGGAACAGGAAGATAAACAATAGCTACTTATGAGAATGTAATCCTTGTTCAAAAAAGACAGTAATGATGGTTGCACAATCTTGTAAATACATTTAAAAATCACTAAATTATATGCTTTAAAATGGTAATTTTATGGCATTAGATATATATTTCCATCTTAAAAGATAAAAATATCACCTAAGAGGCCCTGGGTTCGATTCCTCAGCACCACATAAGCAAAAAGAAAAAAAACAGAAGTGGCACTATGGCTCAAGTGGTAGAGCGCTAGCCTTGAGCTGAAGAGCTGAGGGACAGTACCCAGGCCCAGAGTTCAGGCCCCACGACTGGACCCAAAAAATAAATAAAAATAAAATAAAATTTAAAAAAATATCACCTAAGCTCACAAATCTTTTCCAGAAAAACTACTTTTTTGCTCCCATTATTGAACTCATATAAATTAAAAAATGAGGGCTCTCTCCCAGTTTCCAGGCTGTGGCTAAGGGTCAACACAACACTGACGCCTCTAATCAGGAAATGTCAAAAATAATTGATTCTTGCTGAGTACCAGTGGCTCATACCAGTAATCCTAAACTAAGAAGGCTGAAATCTGAGGATGGAGGTTCAAAGCCAGACTGGGCAGTAAAGTCCATGAGAATCTTATCTGCAATTAACCATCCAAAAAATAGACAGAAGTGTAGCTGTGGCTGAAGTAGTAAAAGTGTTATACAAGAGTGCAAAAGCTAAGGGACAGCTCCTAGACCCTGAGTTCAAGTCTTAGTTCTGGCAGAAAAATAAAAATTTTTTAAAAAATAGGTGCTCAGGAAAACAATTATGCAATTGCTTTAGCTTCACTGGACAGCCAACCTTGCCTAAGTAAAGCCACCTTCTCACTTCCTAGAGATATCTGCAGTGTTCATGATGATCAAGTTTCCCACCTTTCTCATAAAGATTCCAGGCCCACATCTCTCTTCAGTTTATTCCCTCACATCATCAAAGACTTCAGCTGAAACTGTACAACTTTCATCACTCAGACTTCAGTCTCCAAAGCTTCTTCCACATGCACCTGATTCTTGAAAGGTACTCTTAAAGTCTTGTCCAGTCCATCTATATTTAGAATAGTTAAAGTAACCACGTAATCCTAGCTACTCCAGAGGCAGAAATCTGAGAATCACGGTTCAAAGCCAGCTTGGGCAGGAAAGTCCATGAGACCCTTACCTCCATTTAACCACCAAAAAGTCAGAAGGAAAGCTGTAGTTCAAGTGGTAGAATGCCAACCTTGAGTAAAAAAAAAACTAAGGGACAGCACCCAGGCCCTAAATTCAAGCCCTAGTCCTAGCACATATAAAAAAGTAAAGTAACCAAGTTCATGTCAGTCTTGAGCAAAAAAGGTAGGAAAGGAGGGAGGGTGGGAGGGAGGGAGGGAGGGAAGGAAGAAAGGAAGAAGGAAGGAAGCAAGCAAGCCTGTCTCTATGCATTGGCTTTAGTGGCCTTCTAAAATGCTTTTATTTCTAAGTCTCTACTGCAACTCTCATCTTTCTTCTGAAATGCTTCACTCAGTAGGCTCTTCAAGGTCTAGAATGTCTACAGATAAACTCAGTATTTCCCACAATCCCCAGCAGGATCCTTCTCCAGGGCTTCTTACTCTATGATTCACAGACACCCTTCCCACTCAAGTAAAAATCCTGGATAACTTGATTCCTCCCTCCCTTGACTTTGAAAGCACTAGATACAACCAGTTCTGTCACCCAAATCTCTCCTATCTGTTCACATCTATCCCTCTGTTCTAGTACAAGCCATCAGCAGTACTCACCTGGGTTTCTCAACTGTTTACTGATGTATAGTGTCTCCTTCCTTTTCCAATCCATTCTCCACACAGCAGATAAGATCTTTTTTCTTTAATGAAATATTTCAAAAGAAAAATAAATGAAATAATGATCATCTACCTGGCTTTGTCAACTTTGTTCCTCTTTCTGTGAGGTTTTGTGGGGGAGGGGGTTGTTTTTGGCACTGGGGAGCCCATCGAGGGTCTACTTTTTCGAACATTTCTCTTTATCCCATCCTAGCCCCAGACTTTTCTTTTCTGTTCAAAAGCATCCTTCTGGGAATGCCAAGACCCAGATTCCCACATCCTTCTTCCTCTAAACTGAGTTTGATCTGTCCTGCCCAACTGTGCTCTCATGCCTGGCATGGAGCAGGTACTGGTTAAGAATGCACTAACTGTCAGGCTCTAGTGGCTCATGCCTATAATCCTAGCTATTCAGGGGGTTGAGATTAGAGGATCACAGTTCAAAGCTACCAAAAAGACAGGAGTTGAGCTGTAGCTCATGTGGTAGAGCACTAGCCTAGAAGCTCAGGGACAGCACCCAGCACCTGAGTTCAAGCACACCATCTGATCAGGTACAATTTACCCCTCCTGGTCTAAGCCACAGTTTTTTTCTCTGGCATTCTCAGACTCAATAAATCTGCCACCCTCCTCCTCTTCCCCCTCCTCTCCCTCCTCTTCCTCCTCCTCCTCTTCCTCTTCATTTTTGTATCTCTTACTATAGTCTAACTTTTTTTTTCTTTTGTCAATCATGAGGCTTGAACTCTGGGGCCTGGGCACTGTCCCTCAGCTCTTCAGCTCAGGGCTAGCTAGCACTCTACCACTTGAGCTACAGTGCCACTTTTGCCTTTTTCTGTTTATGTGGTGCTGAGGAATTGAACCCAGGGCCTCATGCATGCAAGGCAAGCACTCTACCACTAAGCCACCCTCCCAGCCCAAGTCTAACATTTTTAATAATGGCAAATCCCCATATGTGAGTAGAGAATTTATTATATTTAACAGGGTTTTACAAGAGATTTGTATAATAGTCTACAAGCTTCATTACAAATCTGCATCTATTAAATCCACATAAATCCACATTCTCTAAATCCATATAACCTGAGCTCTACTTTTTTCATTTTCAGTCATAGCTTGGGTAAGTATTCTCCAAAGGGTAGAGGAAGTAAATGTTATTAGAGAGGTTCTCTTCCTTTTTGTGTTCTCTTTTGCTTCCATGAACCATGAGGTAAAGTAGCCTACTCTACCACTTACTTCCACCACAGCCAACACCTCAATACAGATCCAAAATTACAAGGCCAACTACCACAATATTATGATCCAAAAAATCTTTTCTCATTTATCTCAGGTCTTCATTACAGTAAAAGCTGCCTAATACAGACTCAAAGATACCAACATCAAGCTGGCTCATTGTGACTCATATGTACAATTCTAGCTACTCAGGAGGCTGAGATCTGAGGATCACAGTTCAAAGCCGGCCTGACAGACAAATCTATACAAGACAGTTATCTCCAATTCACCAATAAAAAGCCAAAAGTTGGAAGTATGGCCCAAGTGATAGAGTGCCAGTTACAAACAAAAAAGTTAAGCCAAGAGTTCAAACTCATAATAATGATAATCTTAGTTTTTAAAAGTTAACATCAGTTACAAAATTATGCAGAGGGCTGGGAAGGTGGCTCAGTGGTAGAGCGCTTGCCTTGCATGCCTGAGGCCCTGGGTTCAATTCCTCAGCACCACATAAGCAAAAAGAAAAAATCCAGAAGTGGTGCTATGGCTCAAGTGGCAGACTGCTAGCCTTGAGCTGAAGAGCTGAGGGACAGCGCCCAGGCCCAGAGTTCAAGCCCCACAACCGGACCCAAAAAAAAAAAATATGCAGAAAACTGTAATATATTCAAATCTATGATGAGCCCTCCTTAATAGGCAAGGTTAATAACAGTTCTTGTTGGCTCTCATTTCAATAGCCTTTTAATTATCTCAACGACCTCATTTGCTCTCAGCAAAAACTCAACTGATTTTTAGTGTCAACTTCGAATCAATTTTTCAAACTGATAAACTGTTATTATTCCAGTTCTCAGATAAGAGAACTGACTCAACGGGGACGTGGTTTCACTGAACAGAAAGGATGAGTTTGGTGGCCTCGGATATTCCTCTAAAGCCTGCAATGCTCTGGTCGTAGGAACGGGGCTTGGAACAGCTTTATGACTGCTTTGGCGCAGCTGACCATATTTCTGGAGCAAGGGGCCCAGAGCTTAGGATAAAGGCGGGGAGCTTAAGGGTTTTTCTAAGCCAAAAAATAAGAATGAGGAAGAAGAAAAGAGAAAAAGACACTATCAAAAACAAAAACCACAGAAGAGCCGTCCTCAGCCCAGCGGAGGCGCGCAGCGCGGAGCGCAAGCAGCGGCTGCTCGCGGCGGGAGCTCCAACCTGGGCCTGGGCTCTGGCGACCAGACCTGGCCCGGTGCAGACCCTGAGGACACCGTATTACCATCAGCTCCTGCTGCTCCGAGGCCCACACCTGCCGCCCGGTGACGCCCTGCGACGCCCGACCGCCGCCTCCGCACCAGCCAGCCGCTCTGCCCTACCTGGAAGCCGGGACTTGCCCTGGCTATCGCGCCAAGGGTCCGCGACTCCCGCGGGGCCCACTGCGCCTGCGTGACCGGAAGCAGCCCAGGAGCACGAGCGCAAGCGCGCCCTCTGGTGTCCTCCTCTCACCTGATCAGGACACGGTTTTCTGTTACAGATTTTACTTTGCAAACTTGTAAGGACCATAATGGTTGCTTCTTGGCAATCAGTGCTGACAAGAATCTTGCAAGTACTAGGCAGACATTCTACTCTTACACTCACTTCATTTCGCTTATTTTTCAAATAAGAGTTTTGCTCTTTGCTCTGGCAAACCTGAACCAGGGTCCATTTGTTTAAATTTACTGCATCTAAGGGATGACCACCGTACACCATCCCACACAGCTTCTCTATTGGTTAAGATTGGGTGTATCATCTGATCAGTTTTTCAGTTGGGCTGGTTTCAATCTGCAGTCATCTGTATCTTATCCTCTGGAGCAGCTGGGCAGCTGGGATTACAAGTTAAAGCACTGTGACTAGCCACTGTGTGCATGTGTGTGTGTGTGTGTGTGTGTGTGTGTGTGTGTGTGTGTGTGTGTGTGTGTGTGTGTGTATTGTGACATGCACGGCACTGGGGCTTGAACTTGGAGTTTGGGCGACGTTGCTTACCTTTCTCTGTTCAAAACTGGCCCTCCACCACATGAGCCACATCTCTACTTCTTGTTATCCTTTGTTGTTGTTGCTCCTGGTCGTAGGGCTTGAACTCAGGGCCTGGCCACCATCCCTGAGCTCTTTTCTGCCCAATGCTGGCACTCTACCACTGTGAACTACAATGCCACTTCCGATTTTCTAGTGGTTAATTGGAGAGTCACACAGATTTAGCCTTTCTGCCCAATCTGGCTTTGAACTGTGATCCTCAAATCCTAGCCTTTTGAATGGCACCTGGCCTAACTGGTTTGTTTGGTTTTTTTTTTCCTGGAAGGCAAGACATGCCTCACTGCCTTTATTTAGCATTATGAAATTTAGTACTAAGGCTTTCAGGGGAGAGGATTAGGGTTTAGGACTGTGTCTCTAAGTCCCACACAAGGTTGGTTTATCATGTGCTCCTAAGATCAAAGACGAAATACAAATATGACAATTTAAAAGTCTTTTAAAACTGACCTTTAAATACCTTTTCACAGATGTTATATTCAGTACATTTAAGATATATGTGAAATGTTTAAGGGGAACTAACTGGTTTGTTTTGTTTTTGTGCCAGTGCTGGGGCTTGAACTCTGGTCCTGAGTGCTGCCAGCTCAGCTTCTTTTGCTTAAGGCTAGCGCTCTACCAATTGAGCCACAGCACTCTAGCAATTTCTGAGTAGTTTATTGGCGATATGGGTCTCACAGACTGCTGTCCTACCTGGCTTCCAACAGCAACCCTCAGATCTCAGCCTCCTAAGTAGCTAGGCTCATGCCACCAGCGCTCAGCATTGGCTATCTTTTTGATGGTTAATTTGTAGAAGAGTCTCATGGACTTTCCTTGGCTTCAAACCCCAATAGTCAGATCCTAGCTTCCTGAATAACTACAATTATAGGCATGAACCGCTTGTAACTGGCTTGACCTATTCTTATTTTATTCTGGTGCTAGTTACTCCGCAGAGGAGCTATAAGAACTACACTCCGGTAAGGCAATAGTTTCAAAGGATGGTCTTCAGACATCAGCATCAGCAAATTTTTTGAAATGTACATTATCAGTGCATCCCAGAGCAGGCCTTCCACAATAGATAAAGCTGAAATTTGAGAACCACAAAGGTGCTGGGCGCCGGTGACTCACGCCTGTAATTCTAGCTACTCAGGAGGCTGAGATCTAAGGATCCAGGTTCAAAGCCAGCCCAGGCAAAGGAAACTCTGTGAGGCTCTTATCTCTAATAAATCACCAGGAAACATTGGCGCAGTGGCTCAAGTGGTAGAGCACTATCCTTGAGCTGAAGAGCTCAGGAACAGCACCCAGGCCCAGAGTTGAAGCCCCATGGCCGACCCCCCCCCAAAACAAACAAACAAACAAAAAACCCACAAAAGTGTAACTACTCTGAGTATTTAAAATACTATTGAAATAAATTCCAGGAAATAGAAACATGGGGCTTTTTGTTAGTGTTGATGATTTTCTCTCTTTTTTTTTTTTGCTTATGTGGTGCTGAGGAATCAAACCCAGGGCCTCATGCATGCAAGGCAAGCACTCTACCACTGAGCCACCTTCCCAGCCCCTGTTTCTAACATATTTATAAGATGATTTCTTTGTTGCTTTGTATGTCCCTCCCCCAGGGTGTAATCCCTGTTTTCATTGCATTTGATATTGGTATACTTTGTGGAGGGGAAGGGAAAAAATTGTTTAAATAGGGATACAGGTGGACCCATTGCAACAATGAGATGTACAAGATGTTATATCGAAAAACAAACTTTACAACTTTGGCTGGGGGGGAGGGGGGATGGGAAGAGATGGGAAGAGGAAAGAAAGGAGGAGACAACAATGCTTG